AGCAGACACACACATACACACACACACCTCACAGTATGTCATCAATGTTTCAACATTGTGTTAATTACAAGAAAACGTGAGATATTGGCAGCTAAAGTGAGTACGACTGATGATGAGAGTGGCAGAGAAGCCGAGACAGAGAGAGAGATATTACTCGCGATACACATAGCTCACATTTCTCTGAGAGCCTATGAATAGCAGAATCAATAAAGAGCTCAGTCAGACTACAGAGTAGAAATATGTGCGGATGGAGACTCCTCCACACAACTCTGTGTGTGTGTTAGCTGTTAATAATGTTCGTCTGTTTGATTACGTCTTTAATTGATTTTTCCGTACATTTCTGCCATATGCACATTGACTGACAGTCACCACTGATAAGCTACCACTAAATATTGTAGAAACTTAATTTGCTGTAAAGTTGCTTTGCTATGATTTGTATCATGAAAATGCTATACAAATAAACTTGAATTGAATTGAATTGAATATATGATATATTTCTGCCATATGTGTCCCAAATGAAATCAAGTATCACAGAAAAACAGAGCGAGGCCTGTATAGTATATGGGACCCACCTCAGTGATTCGAGGGTTGGTGCACTTGACGTTTGTGCTAGCGAGGTGAAGCCAGCGGCTGGTGTAGGGGTTGGACATGGGACAGTGCTGGCGTAGGGTACAGCGGCCCTCCATACTGCACCAACCACACTGGAACTTCCTCTCGGCCTTCAAACACACGCCGCAGCTGTCCCTCTGAGCGCCACACTTATACAGGTGCACTGTGGCATACAGGTAGAAATTAGTAAAGTGTTTTTAAATGAATGCTGCAATAAGGCTTTTGTTTGGTGTAAAAAGTTACACGTTTTGATAAAGTTTTTTCACTTAGGTTGACCTATCTGAGCTATTGATCATAAATGTATCAAGGCTGATGAAATCATGAAGCTCAGCACAACTGTGATGCTTAAGAGGTTTTGCTGAGCATGAGAAAAGTAGCTTCAGACTTTCATTTTTCTATAAAACCATGGAACGAATAATAATCAATCCGGTCAGTCACCTCAAATTATACTTAGGGCAGAATGATTCTGGGAGAATCAGACAGGTTCCAGAGTTTTGGCTTAAAACACATTATTTTCATGGGTTTCTTTATGTGTTACCTTTGATGTTCTCAGGATTGTCAATGATGAAGTTTCCATTCCACACCACTGAGAAATCCACCGGCAGCTCACTGATCCTCATCCCTTCATACAGATACTGCAGAGAGACGGAGAGATGGAAAGAGGTTACAACATTTTTCTGACAGTGCAAACGCTGAGATAATGTAAAGTTTATGACATTTTTTATTGGATTTAGTCTTTGCCTGTGTCAATTATTGATTACAACATGCAGCCAAAAAGTGAACGAATAAACGGCAGAGTACACAAGCAAATAACACGAGAGAAAAATTGAGCGAAAGAAAGGTGGTTTGACTGTATTAGTGCTCTTATTGAGTTACTCCAGACTTGCATCATCATTCTGCGCAATAAGGAAGACTTTCAACACTCCTCTTTTCTACAGCTTGGACACTGAGCTCCAATTGCCTTCATCTCTTCTTACATTGTGTGTGTGTGTGTGTATGTTCATTTGAAAGATAATGACAAAAAGAGAGTGAAAAGTGGCGGTAGAAAAGTAAAATATCAACCATTTAATGCACTTTAAGTATCAACTTTGTAAGTAACTTCATTTTTCCTTAGGACCAACAAATGGCAAGTGTTGATGTACATTAAGAGTACTGTGTTTTAAAAACATGTAAACAGTGTAGCTCAAATCTTTTAGGTTTAGAAAGAATCCAATGAGAAATGTTTCAGCTCTTATTGAGACTTAATATCTTGGCAAATATGAGCTCAATTTGAGATGTCTTCTGAAACTCACAGCATTGAGCCAGTAAGTATAGCTCAGATAATTTGGTCTGGGAAGAATTGTATAAGAAATGTTTGAGGTCATATTAAAATCTTAAACTTTCGATTGCACACTTGTTCCCGCTTCCTGGCAAATCTGAGCACAGTTTGAGACACTGTTGAGATATCTTATGAAACTCAGGAGTCTTTCTAATGAGAAAAAACATGATACTTAAGCATAGGTCTAAGTTTGTTCTCAATCAAATCAAATGGATGTCTAAGAGAAATAATTGAGATAAAATGAGATTTCATTATGATCTTTCCCATGAGTACACATGCAAACCCAAACATACCGAGCTGTTCTGGCACTGTACGCTGGAGCTGTTGAATCTGAGCGCCGTAACTCTGTGACTGACTCCTTGTATGTGCAATACACACTCGTAGCCGCGCTGACCCGACTGAGGTTGTGGAAGGTTCCGAGCTTTTAGTGTGATGGGCTTCACCTCCCCCGCCGGGATCAGGATCTCCTCAGAGCGGACCAGTTGAGGACAGTCCTAAAGGAGAGAAGGGAGTGAGAGGTGAACAGATAGTCAAGACAAACACGTGCAAACACATAGAATACTAAACCATCCAAGTGTACTCAGCAAAGAACATGAAAGCTGAATTGAAAGAGCCTTATAGAAACATATAGTGTACTGAAGTGTGTGCAAGAAATGAATACACTTCAGCTTCAGTTCCCACACACTTTCCCATGATCACACACACACACACACACACACACACACACACACCACACACACCACACACACAGCGAAACCTTAGGTGCTCTTTAAAAGCAGGTTGAAGTGTTACTCTCTAAAAGCTGTGTGTGGAGATGATGTGCACTAGTAGGTCAGTCTGTGAGAGGTTTCCCTAGTGTCTCTCTAATACCACACTTAGTTACACACACACACACACACTTTAAAATGAAGCTAAACACACAGTTACATACTATATGTGAGTAGGCAAGTGCGATGCAGGCATGCAGTCCTGTTGAAAAATAAATTAAAATAATAAAATGATACACTTTCAGATAAAAAAAGATAAAAATAGTTCTATAGAACACAATAAATAAATTATGAAGGCATCAATTAAGCAAATGTTGCATCTTTCACTTAATTACAGTTTTTTACAATTGCTTACACACTAAAATTAAACTTTTCCAACAATTAGCAAAACCTTACACTCAAGGAGCAAAACACAAGGCTAGATTTGCACAACTGTAAGCACATTGTCAGCTTCACACTATTTGCAAAACATTACACACAGTGATTTGCAAAACACTAAACACACTTGTATACATCAGACACAGAAGTATATCATGATGTCACTTCCTTGCAATTCCAAAGCACTGACTGTCAAATTACCACACCTATGAGCCAATCTGTTAAACACAGCCATCAGGTGCACAAACACATGATTGCTAAATTGTAGACACACCAATCAGGTTTAAGCACTATAAAAATGCAGCAGGTAGGTTCACCTGGCTTCAACCAAAATGGAAGGAGTCAGAAGAAGAGTGAGGGTGAGAGGAGGAGTACGGCAGGAGTCAGAAAAAGAGTGAGGGTGAGAGGAGGCAGAGGCAGAGGCAGAGGCAGAGGCAGGCAATTCCAAAGCACTGACTGTCAAATTACCACACCTATGAGCCAATCTGTTAAACACAGCCATCAGGTGCACAAACACATGATTGCTAAATTGTAGACACACCAATCAGGTTTAAGCACTATAAAAATGCAGCAGGTAGGTTCACCTGCCTTCAACCAAAATGGAAGGAGTCAGAAGACGAGTGAGGGTGAGAGGAGGAGTATGCAGAGGCAGAGGCAGAGGCAGAGGCAGAGGCAGAGGCAGAGGCAGAGGCAGAGGCAGAGGCAGAGGCAGAGGCAGAGGCAGACCTGAAGCAGGAGGAGAACGTGCACAAAGAAGAGGACCAAACTTATCAAATGACATTCGAGGCCGAGGCAGACCTGAAGCAGGAGGAGAATGTGCACAAAGAAGAAGAGGACCAAACTTATCAAATGATATTCATGCAACACTAGTGGACCATGTTGTGAACCACGGATTGACGCTGAGGGAGGCTGGAC